TGATTAGGTATTTGCTGGTTATAATATTATACCACCTATTATAAATTCATCAAGTAAAAAATTGACTAGGAAAAAAATTGAATATTGATAATTTTAAGATAATCCACTAAGTAAATTTACGTAGTGTACGCCATATTGTATCTAGTTTTTTTTAATATTGAGATAATATTATTAAACGGACAAAATATGGCATATTATACATAAACAAGACGTTATGCTGAACCATTTTCATTAAAATAAAATATGCATTGATCACGTTTAATTATAATAATAAATATAAATTGCATAGAAAGTTAAAATACAAAAAAATTGAATCGATATTTAGCAAATCAAAATAAAATATGATTGAAAAAATGCAGACAAGATACTAATACCTCTCCCTTTCTACACGTGTCTCGATTCGTCCACAATGTCCGTCACTACTACACTAAAAAGTGTTAACAGACATATTAAAAAAAAACACACCATTGTACAATTAACCTTTTTTGCACTTCAATTTTTTTATTACATTCGAAATTCTTAACAACACATTACTGCAGCTAGTAAAATGATTAATGGAATTTTCGACGTTGAAAATCTGACAGGAAGTCGTTTAGTCTTTTTGCATATCGCGGTGCTGATGACGACACTTAATCATAATTTCCCAAAAGAAAACCTAACAGATTTACAATTCAATGATCCGTAATGACTATCGCAGAAGATGTCGGAACACTTCTGATACTTGGCTTTCGCATGGAAAACATATTATCATTATATTTCGGATAACTATATTGATTAAGTTTATTTTCACTATTTTTCATTATAAATTATAATAAATAAAATATTTAACTCGTTATTACAATATCAATTTTTATTATTCTTTTTTTTAACATTAAGAATTTTAATTAAAATGTTCTAATAATAGTGAAATTATTAAGTAAAATATGGCGTGTTTTAAGAAAAAATAAAAATAAAAATGATAAGGACTACAAATTGAGTATCTACCTACCTATATAAAAAAATAATTGTCGTATTGAAAAGAATGATGCAGCACATCCAACTTTCCATAGTCTTATACCTAGTAATAATATATTGGTACCCTTATATTAGGTAAATAATTGTAATATTGTATGATAAAATTACAAATATTAATAACCCGTTATTAAATCTTCATAATGTTATACTGTTATTGATTGATTTTTGGATGTAAAATATAAACTAACGGACATAATATCGTTTTATAACAAGTTTTAATTTATTTTTAATCTATCGAGCTAATATGAAAAATATTCACATAGTCACTCCGAAATATCGTTAACGATGTTAATAATTATTATCTATTTACATTTGACTCTAAATTTATATTCACCGCCTAAATAAGATTGGCATAATTAGATATATGGGGTGACATGCAGTTTACACAAGACACTCATTATTTTAGAATATAATATAATATACGCACCAAACACTAATTTTCAATGACATTATTAGTTTATTTTAATGTGTAGTTTTGTTTTCACACGTTTAATCGATCAGCAATGTGATACTACTATACTAATACATCGTAATGCACTTCTCCATTTACTGTTTGGATTTTTATTATAATATAAATACTCAAACGCGTAAGGCGTAACTGTAAAGTATAAAAGTAATTCCTGGAATATTTCTTTTCTCGGGGTAATGTTGCTATTTAGATTACTTGAAAAAGGTTTAAACATGTTTTTTACTTTAATATGTATTTTATGAAAAATAATAAATTAATATTTACTTACGTTTTCCTAAAAATCATTTATATTTTACAATTTTGAATATCACATACATTTTTAATTTCTTATTCCGATGTAAAATATTTTTCTGAAAATGTCGACTGTAACGGGATAAACCGTCACTATATTAAAATGGTCCTTTTCAGGACCACCAAACACAACAGTATGGCAACATAATGCGACACAAGAAATAAACGCGACACACTAGAATAAGTAGTTTGCCAACAGGAAAGTTTCACGGAAATAACTAGCAAGAACCACATTAACGAAGCGAACACCAATGGGTCAAGGTGTGGTTATTGCTTATCAAAGCAACCATTCCCGACCAATCACAGGACAACAAAGGGAAACAAATAGTATATATACCGGGACAGTTCACCGGTCAAATCATCTTCCACACCAGTCTTCAACATCTCTTCTACAAGTCAACAAACACTTTAGAAGACCCGAAGACCTGAAGACCCGAAGACCCGAAGACTAACGACGCAGCAGCAACACCGACCTGAACGACGCCGGCGAAGCTGATTCGACCTAGCCAGTCCACGACGACGCACCCTGAACACACCGGTCTAACGTGATCGCTCGATACCGCCGAGACTCAACAGTACCCGGTATACCTGGCTAACAAGCGCCACTTCACGGACCGACGACACCAAGCCTACCGTGTGCATCCAGCAATCGACGACAACGGATAGCCGCCACACCGGGACCTGATTAACCCACCGACGGCAGCGTATAATATAATTATACTCCGACGATCCACTACTGTCAGTCCACCCGTTCAATCGAGTCCAGTCACGCCGTTGGACGAATATCAAGACACGCTGGGAACCGACTTTGTGACTTGGCCAATCGACTATTCAGCAAGCCAATACAAGTAATACCACGTTCCCCCCCTACGGTGAGCTTATTCGAGTTTCACCGCGAGGAAGAACCGAACCCACACGACTTGCTCGAGTCCGTGCACGGACGGTTCCTACTCTCCCTTATCATTATTGTATTCTTTCTACGAAACGTATAGGCAAATCCCGACTATTGTTTTGCTCGCGCCTCTTCAGGCCCGAACCCGCCCGCCGCGGCCGCTTCTTCAAGCCTGCCGCGCGGCCCGGGATAACTTGCCCCGATCATTATAAACATTATTTAGTGATTATACAATAAACGATACTATAACGATACATAACGCATTGTTATTCACGATCACGGACGTCCCGGAAAGACGCTCCGTATCACGACTTATATAAATACAAGGTAGAACCAGTTGTTAATTCATAACTCATAAGGTGTACTTTAAAGTCGAGCTGAACCTATACAATATATGCATAATATGTTTTGGCTACCTAACTGAAGCAACGAAACTAATGAGTACTTATAGTATATTAAAACCGTCGAAGGACCATTTTTATAAAATCAAATATTAACGAAGTGATGGTGTCAATAGATTTTATTAGAGTTTAACAGGGTTGACTTTATTTATCATAGTTATTAACTTATAATGTGTTTGATGTAGTGAATGTTCGTTTAATTCAATTATAAATAAAGACAATATTCTACGGTTTGACGGATTACTTCAGATGATTATAATTTATAAAATGCAATATTTAAATATTGACACGATATACCCACACTGATGCTTGTAAAATATGAGTGTTGCATGCATACATTTTCATTTACCTAACTTAAATGCAAATCCATAAGCGAGATTATTAAATAAAATATATAATCTATAATATTATAGGTATACATAATATTATATAAAACATATAATGCAGTAGCCGGTAGATGGGTACCTATAATTGATAATTGTGTTACCATAATAGTGATAATTCAATAAATTGAGCTACCAGCAATAATTACACTATCGAGCAGGCGTATTAAATTATTACTTGACGTAGATAAGATGTGCCTATAGTGAAATATTTTTATTAGCTCCACTGTTTCATTCGATACATATAATATTAGTGTAGAACGTGACCGATAGAAATTTCCATCCGGAATCGTTAACGAACAACGAACCTACGGCAGTAGTCCTTTTAGAGACAAACAAATGTGCTCCCTCTATTATCTCGGTCGCTCCGTCTCCCTTCCACACTTAGCTGTAAAGTGTGTGCGTGTTTTTCTCTCTCTCTCTCTCTCACCCTCTCTCTCTCTCACCCTCTCTCTCTCATTCTCGAATTACGCTTGAAGGGATCGATTAATTCTATACAAGCTAGAAATTAATGGTTTATTTGTTTCGCGTGTTGGACGGAACCCGATAATTAAACTTTGAAACTATGAAAAGCAATACATTCAAATGTACAATGACATTCGCCGATAATTTCGATGCGAATATGAAAACGATTGCATACTTACAGTGTGTATTACATTGTAATATGTGCTCCCGCCACACACACACACACATAAACACACAAGTATCAACTAAAAGCGTGTTTCGAAAAAGTTATTTTCATTATTGTGTCAACTGTATTTGTCATTTCATTTTAAAAAGCCGTCTTCTGAATGATTCGGAACATTATTGTTTAATTTAACGGCGAAAAATAACTTAGTGAAAGTTCAAAAACTCTATCTCTCTTTATATCAAACTATACCTATACATCATTTAATAAAATACTAGATTAACTTTTTGAAACTTTTGATTTCTCCGTGTTAAGAAGCAATGGAAATGCCGAGGGGTAAATCAAGAAGGTGAAAAGTAAAAAAAAATTCCACAGTTGGAAACAATTATTTATAATGTATTGCTAAATATAATTTAATAAATGCTATCACGATAACTAGTTTATAGTGAAATAATAATGCGTAAAGTATGTAAAAATATAGAGCAGACAATTTTTAAATTTAAAAGTTTAAGTAGATAAGTTTAAGTAGAAATTTGATGGTTAAACTCACGGTATTTAAAATATTCACTCTAATATTTAATTTGAACATAGTCGAACAAAATAGTTTGATTGTTATTAATCGATATTTGTAATATAACACCTTTGTAAGTTTATTCTTAGTATCAATTCAGTACTGTATTTATTATGGTTTACACATTTTACCCGTTTTAGCATACATGATATTGTTTATGATGTGTTTATGTTAGGTTAGGGGGTTGATACTAGATTAGGGTTAGCCTATTCGTAACACCACGAATTAATGTACAACGCATTGTCATCATATAACGTGGTTATGGATTTACACAGTTTAATTTTATATAGCAAGTTCGTAATCGAAATTCAAATGTTTACTTTTCTTTTTACAGACAGTTAGCTAACGACTATGGTTGAACAATTGTTACAAGAACGATGTGGTCGCCAGTTATCTTCCTGCGTGCGGATGAACACCAGACTGGCTGGAGCAGAGTTCGAACTAAATTGTGGAAAAAAACAGAGTTCCAGGAGGTCGAACGAACAGAGAGAAAGGGGTCATGTGCCAGGAATGTTCGACAGAGAGAATGTCGACTTAGATTTAGATCTCAAGTATCATCTTCAGACTTGTACATGTTCTTGCAACCACATGGGCTTTGGCAATTATATGGATTATTATCAGGTTAGTTATAATTGTAGTCAGTATGAATAATATTATATTAATATCAAGTAGGTACATATTATAGGCGCCTGACACCTACCTCCCATCTTCAGGCATTCAATAGTATACTATGATAGTATGATGAATTCACTTTATTTTAACGATATTGATATATACTATCGTACCTACAACCTATACTATACCCTGTAAAGTAACATAACTACGTTTTTTTGGTTTTGGTTTTAACTATTTTTTTTTACCTTTTTTAATGTCTGTAAACATAATATATTCAGAAACGAATTAATATGGTTATTTAATTATTCTAAAAACCGTTTGTCTTGCGACAATTTTAGAAAATTACTTTGGCAACGTATCAAAACCCAACAATAATGTTAATGTGTACTATAGTGTGTGAACACTAGTTTTTGAATGTTTAAAACACATGGGGCTGTGATACAATAGTGGTACAATGTTGTACAATAGTTTAAAACTTTTTGTGTATAAACATAAATATGTGTGTATTATCATTAAATATTATGGCATTATGCACATGAATACACAGTTTGCAACATTTTTCGAAAATATAAAACATCATTAAGTTGAAAATTCAGTTAACAGACCAAAGGTCAAAGAGGCAAGGGATGACATTCGCCCAAAATTCAATCGCTTTACATATTATAGTACATTTAATACGTTTATTACATAATATAATATTACTTACATTTTTTTAATATAAATTATTTTTAATAGGTACCTATAATAATTATACCATGTATGTCAACTTATTTCCCAAATAATTTATGGAAACAACATAGTACCGCCAATCACCTTGTTGGTCGATGTCAACTGTCTATAAAACAATTAAACATATTGTAATAACATAGTGTTAACCTTTCAATGCATACATTAAATTCCCTCAATCATAATTTTGTAATTTTTCATAACACTTCATATTATATGATATCATATAGCCATATAGGATAATATAGGTTATATTAATTCATAAAAATAAAATAATGTATAACTTAGGTATTAGTTATTATTCACGCCTAGTGAACAACAGTTTTTTTTTCATTTATGTAATTGGTATAATGTATAGATATAGAAATATAATTGTATTAAATTTTTCATAACTTAAAAGTTAAAAAATTTGTTTTTACTCAATTTATCAAAAAATACCTAGGAACCTAGTTAAAATAGATTGGAACTAGTTTAAATTTATTATCGTTTAAAATAACTTTTCCCAAACAGGCAAATTCAGCCGAGAATATAGATAACTATAGGTAAGTAGTAGGTATACTAGGTACCTACTATCATTTAATTTTTCTGTGTATCGTTATATAAAAAATGCATAAATATAGATTTTATTACTTTTACTTAGATTTTTTAAATTAATTTAATTACCTACATATTATTTATTTAAATTATCATACAAAATATTTCTTTTAAAACTGTGGCATTGTGTAAGTGTATTGTGTGAGGTTTAGGGGGGATAAACCGCCTCACTTGAGATAAACCCCCCTCCCTATATCTATCTGGGGTGAATGAGAAGCGTTTTAATGTTTCACATTATGTGTACTTCTGGTTAAATCTACACATGTGTATATATAGTACTGAATATCAGGTGAATAATAAAAACAAATCCATAAAAAAAAATAGGTATCTACCTAAAGTTGTTTTTGGATGGATATAACTTGAGTTACTTTAGTAAAAGAATAATCAAGTCAAAAAGTGTCAACTAGATCAATATTTTAAGAAAGGTGAAATATTTTAGGCAACACTGCAGACTTTCATTAAAAATCCATTTTATGGTATTAGGGTAAAGGTTTAGTGTTTAAGCACTATATATAGCTATAAATGTATATTACATATATATACGTCTTTACGTTATGGGTGGCTTAGTCAGCTGAGTTCAGCCAAAGCTTATGAAAGTATAGAATGATATATAGTAACTTCATCGTACAATTAATAATTTATTCTAGAATAAAGGAATTATAGGACTGTAGTTTTTCAAAACTATTATTTGAACAGTGAACACACACTATTGGCATGCATATAATGCCGATGTATGTAATTTCTAAATGTATTGCATTTGCTTGTAGTAAATAATATTCGAAATACAGATTTTAATATAAATATTTTCTCTGGATCGTACATGCGTTTGAACTCTGATCATTAGACATGGATGGTTGATTACGGGGAAATTCGAGATAAATAATAAAAGGGATTACTTTGAAAAACTTGGGTACGTGACTGTAGTTTTAATTAATCCCCGAAAAGCTCAATGTGTTGGAAAGAGAATATTCAATTCCACCTGTCATTTTAAGCTATTTGTCTTGACAGAGGAGCACCAGATATATATTTTTATCTCGAATAACCAAGTTTATTTGATTTATTAGGAAATACACATTAGAAATGGAATATTTATATGAATGAATAATTCCTATTTGGGTTGAATGTTTGATTAACTGAGCTGAGATACATTTTTACGATATTAATATTTTGCAGATGGCTTTGCGTAAGTTAAATACAATAATAATATATTATATTTACCATACTTTTGTTCTAATTTAAATTGTAAACATTAATCACAGAAAACAAACAAACAGATTTTAAATATTTTAACAAAAATAATACGTGTATAAATATATAATAATTATGAACATCATTTCATCTCTGTAATTTTATACGTTTTATTATACCTACTTTAACATTACTCTATATCAGCGCATAGTATATTATAATTTATTAAGCACAAATGTTTGACACTAAGTTACTGGTTAAATTTGAATCTTAATGTACAGTGTGGTTAATTAATTGGAAAGTCTGTAACCCTTGCTCAGGATGTAGGTGGAATATTTTAGTGCAGAAAAAGTAATATATAACTATATAATGGCCTCCCTTATACCATGACTTATATGTCATATATATTACATTTAAAAAATTACACTGAAATATTAGCATTGCATCATGAATTAAGGTTAGATTTAGGGTAGTCAGTATTTTCCAATTAATTAACATTCTGCGTAGTACGTACCTATATATTTTATATTTTATGAAAAAAAAAAAAAAAAATTGTAATAATTACTTAAATTGTGATTTTGAAATATTATAAAAACTTCGATCGTTTATGATTCTTGTTAGTTTTTCCAATTTATTTTTTATTATGTCATAGAAAATATCATTGAAAATTGAAAATTATAAACATCGTTTACTTATAGTTGTAATTAGAAGAACCTATAAGCATAAAATATTTAATTACGAAAAAAGTTAGTAAGCAATAATTTATTTTACTTATAATAAAGGATGACCAATGAACATATTATATATTTCTAGTACAATAAACACTCTAAAAATAATGTCATATACACTTACTTCGTTCACTATACTTTTTAAATTTTTCTTTTTAATTAATTTTGTTGACTGTTCTGATTACATGTCACTTTGGACTATAACTGACATCAAAGTTGCCCCTACCTTGCTGGGAGGACAGAGTGTACCGAACATAAATGGAGTATCGAATATAATATATACCTACCTAGTGTATGTATGAATAGCGGTGGAACTCATTTGGCTTGTCAATTATGACCATAATAATAATGTACTACTAATCATGATATTTACATATTGCAAGTTGAAACGTATTGTTGTAGGTATTCATAAACAGTAAATATTTCATCGATAAATATATCTGGTAGATTAATTAAAGACTATTTATATTTTTAATATTTTATTTTCAAAATCACATTTTACTGAACAAATATTAAAAAAACAAGACAGTCATAGATACATAGAACAAAATGAAATAAATGACAATTGTGTGAATAAAACGGGACGTATGATCACCCTAGTGTAATAGATATTTATGTAAAGTTATAAAAAGTATTAGTAAATACTTATTTAAACATAGTTTATGAATTTAGTTTTTAATTAATGTTTCTCTTTCATTGTAGAAATTCTCTGGATCCTTTAATTTAAATTATAGACCATCATTGCATATGATAATGATATGACAGTGTAAACTAAAAATTACTTTTAAAAATACAATCTATCGATTGCCTATTCATATTTCATAAATTTGAACAAAGACGATGAAAGTGTGTGTTCGTTGAAGTTAGTTAACCACAATTTGAAATTTTACCATTGATATGGATATTCATATTGTTGATTTATTTTATGTTGAATAAATAATAAAACATGTTTATTTACCATTATTTTAAACATATATTAGGCACGACTACCCTATTGGATTTCTAAAAATTGAACAGTTATTAGTAAAAATTATATTTCTGTATTTTGTTTTATTTTGTTGTGAGCTTAAGTTTGTTCTTGCTTGAATCATTTAATGATCTTTATACAACATTTTAGTTTCAGAATGTTTCAGATGTGTTTATTACTCTAAATAATACAATGCTTATTGTTTAAATTAAGAGAAAACATTAAAGCCACTTATTAATTTCTTCTTCATAAATTATATTTACATTTAAAGATCTGAAACTAACCTAAAATCTGCAAAATACATAGCTCGTCTTTGTTTGTCAAGGGAATAAAATACGCGTTGTCTGTTGTGAATTTTATGACTCGTTCTAAAGTTTTATTGTAACTCAAATCGTAACTAAATAATAGTTTAGACGTCTTTGTATAGCAACATATATTTACTTTTTCATCACATTTTACTTTAATTACTCACCTGCTACTTTAAATGATCAAGTAAATAATCAAGTTACACAATTACACGATTTTTAGTGCTCCCAATAAAATAACTAATAATAGATTGTTCTCGTCTATAAATGGTGTTATAACTTGTTATTCTATGATACATAGGGTCAATGAAATAAATAATTTGGACATCCTGTATTTAAGGATAAGTTTTAATCACATGTATTTATCAATTAAAACAATCTTATTATATTACCAACTAATTTCGGAAATTTAGAGAGCGTAACGATAAACTCTGTTTTTTATTTATTTATTTTTTATTATTCTTTTAAGCAATATTTATCCTAACCGTTGTTTTTCCG